ACAGACACCTATATCATGAGTGAACGACAATGCATGAAATATCAGACACTTCCCCCTCGTCCCAGGCTCCCCCCAGGCTCCCCCCGAACCTCACCTTCCACGTATGCATCTCCTCACCTTACCTTCTCATATACACCTTCCATTTCACTTAATGCTGCGGTTACCCTGGTCAAAAGCTTTTCGGTTATTTTTAACTTATTCTCCCCCCCCCTTTCAGCACCTATTGTTTATGTTTTTTCATTGGGTTGTTTAACACCTCACAGATACATGATTTTCACCCTCACATGAGGGACACGAGATGGGTAGGATAGAAATGGCATCAGGTGGATTACTGAACGAGGGAAGCAATGTTACTTGTGGTATGGTGGTAGAGGACTAAGGCTGCCGTCAACTGTGAACACCCCTTCTATTTCCGGCAGGGATTCAGGTCTTCCTTCTTAGTCGTCCTCGCCTCTTGTTTGTTCTCTCTGATCACTCCCGAGTGCACAATCTACTTCTTTTTCTTTTCTTTTTAAAAATATTTATTTATTTTTAGTTGTGTGTGTGTGTGTGTGTGTGTGTGTGTGTGTGTGTGTGTGTGTAGACACGAGCGTGAGTCCAGGTGACCATGTATGGTTGGAGTCACCATGTAGTTACTGGGACTCGAACCCTGGTCCTGTAAAAGAGCAGCCAGTGAGTGCTCTTAGCCACTGAGCCACCAGCCCCTTTATACCCATTTCTTAATGCTGTTGCCATTAATCTGTTCCAGGCTTATCAACACTGGCTACCCCTGCCGCTGGAGCCGTCACTAGCCCCCCCCCCCCCCCCCCCCCCCCCCCCCCNNNCCCCCCCCCCCCCCCCGCCTCCGCTCTCTTCTCCCACATCCTTTCCACCATATGCTCATTGTCCTACAATGCACTACTCAGAGCCCCTCAGCATCTTCTCCTTGCCCATGCCCTTACTCACACCGTAAGCCAGACTCGGGGGGTGGGGCTTGCATCACCTGCAGGCTCTGCCGGTCCTTCCAGCCTTGTTACAAACCTCACTCCCCACTTTCTATACCTCAGCTCCTGTCTCAGGGCCTTTGCACCAGCAATTCTGGCAGGAATGTTCTTTCTCTCCACTCTCTATTTCACTTCATTCTTCTATATAGGTTTCTTACAAATTTCTTCAAAGACTCCACGGACACAACTGCTTAGCTTCTTCTGTATAGCATTTATCATACATATACTTCCTGGGTTACTATTCATCTTGCTTGCTTGTCTGTCTCGTTTTGTGAGACTGCATGTCTCCTGAAAAGCCATGTCTGGTTTGATCACTTCCAGACACACTTTGGGATCTCCACAAATGTTTTCTGATGGGTGAATGCAGTGACTACTATGCATGAGTCAGAACAAGGCATGAGAACAAGATTTTGTTTTGTTTTGAGACAGGGTTTCTCTCTGTATCCCTGACTGTCCTGGAACTTTTGCTGTAGACCAGGTTGGCCTCAAACTCACCAGCCTCTGCTTCCCAAAAGCAGGGATTAAAGGGGTGCACCCTCCATGCTGGCCAATTCTGAGTTATTTTTTAAGACTAGATACTCCATATGGAGCTGAAAATTGTCCTTTCAAGTTATGTGAAAAATTATGTTGGAACTTCCATGGGGATTGCATTAAATCTGTAGATTGCTTCTGGTAGCATTACCATTTTTAGTATATTAATCCTACCGAGTTATGAAGGTGGTAGTTCCTTCCGTCTTCTGATGCCATCTTCAATTTCCTTCTTCACTGTATTGAAGTTTTTTATTATGCAAGCTTTTCACCTGTTTGGTTACAGTTTGAACAAGATATTTTATTTTTTGAAGCTATCGTGAATTGTATTGTTCTCCCTGACTGCTTTCTCGGTCTGGATATCATTTGTATATAGGAAGACTGCTGATTTTTGTGTATTAATTTTGTATCCTGCTACTTCGTTGAAAGTGTTGATCAGCTGGTGGAATTTTTACGTTATACTATCATATCATCCCCAAATAAAGATAGATACTTTGACTTCTTCAGTTGCCTCCTTGCTCCAGCTAAGCCTTCACATACTGTATTGAATAGGAATGGGGAGATGGACAAGCTTGTCTTGTCCCTTATTTTAGTGGAAATGCTTCATGTTTCTCTCCATTTAGATTGATGTTGGCTGTAGGCTTGGTGTAAATTGCCTTTATTATGTTGAGGTATGTCCCTTGTCTCTCTCCCTAGTCTCTCCAGGACTTTGAGGGTGAAGAGTGTTGAATGCTGTCAAAGGCCTTTTCTGCATCTAGTGAGATGATCATGTGGCTATGTCTTTCAGTCTGTTTATGTGGTGAATGACATTTATCAATTTATGTATGTTGAACCATCTCTTCACGGGGTCGCAGTGCTGAGAGGAAAAGTGGACAAAAGCCCACATCCCTAACTAACCCAGAAGCTATCTCCAATTGACAATTGCTTGCAAATGAAAACTTAGTTTTCTCCAATGGCGTCTCACTGGGTATACTGGGTATGTACTGGGTATGCAAACGACTCTTAAGCCAGACCCTGTGTCCTCTCTTTGATGGTCAACACAAAAGAACGCAATGGCAATTTCAGAGGTTCTTTGCCTCATAATGCTTTGCCAGGATGTTCTCTCTCTTTCTCTCTTCCTTCTTCCTTCTCCTCTTCCTTTTTTACGTTACAGTTTCTTTGTGTATACATTCTGTGTTTTTATGGGACTTCTGTGTATGTGTTTCTTTGCATCTATTATGTTTCTTGAGCTTTTTTTGGCTCTATTTTTTTCTGTTTGTTTCTTTCTTTTTTCCTATTTTTGTTTGTTGGCTTTTATCTTCTTTTTTTGATGCCTGTTTGTATTCTGATGAGAGAGAAACAAAAGGAAAGAATTTGGGTGGGGGGATATGTGGGAGGAGTTGGGGCAGGGGAACAATAACTAGAATATATATGTATAAATATATAATATTCTCAATAAAAAGACTACATTCTTGGCTTAGTTTCAGTTGACCACCCTGACCCCATGTAATGGAGCCCCTCCCCTGGTGCAATTTAAAACTCTCTGGTACATTAAATCAGCCAACTCCTGAGAAATATTATCGACAGCAAACAGTTCTGTTCTTAATCCAAATTTAACATTTCATCTTACAAATTTGATATAATTGAAACTGAAAAAAACCCAAGGCCTTGTGCAAGTTTTGGATGATAGAAGATAGAGTATGAGCTCAGCTATAATTATAACATGGTTAAATCGAGACTGTAATTTAGGGATTTAACCTTTATATTTAAAATTTAGGGGTTTTGTGCAACTGTAAGAATCCATAAACAATGATGACATTCTAAAGGGGAAAGAAATGGAAGATAATGACAGTGCTAACTCTCAGATCGTGTTTAGGTGTACTGGTCGGGAAGGGCAAGGGGTCTAGGAGGCAGGAACAGCACACTGAGAACCTAAGATCATGCTTGCTCTTTATTCTGTGGTCCTGGCTACAGCAGACTTTATAATCAGTTGAGGGCTTGATGGACCGACAACACCTTCTCTGCTCCCATTTTTATCTCCATGATTGCTTATTTATTGCAGAAGCATGATACTTATTCTTAATTATATGCTAATCATAATTACTAAGGAAATTGCTGGTTACCCTGTCTGGCGTTGGGCAATCGAAACGAAGCTCGCGGTGGAAACAAAAACATTTCATTAGAAAACAAAAGGAACTGGAATGGTGAACACTTTGATATCATTATGATTTGGTTCTGACAAATTATTATTAATAACGGAACTGAAAATTTTTCACTGCCGCTGTCCAAAGCCAGACCGTCACAGCATGTAGATTAGAGTTTACTCCAATCTATGAATAGCCGAGACAGCTGCCACCCGGGGCTGTAAGACAAGACAGCTAGTCCTAATTCAGGCCCCCACCTTCTGAGCTCTTCTGGCCTTGCTGCGTCCCCCTCGCCCTGCCTACTTCAGTCTCTGGCATTGTGTCTGCCTTTCTCCACTCCCATGGAACATTTTTGGTGGGGAAACAATTCTATGTACCGTTTCTCAGAGCGTCCACACTCGTGTTTACTTTACCCCTAATTGGAAAAGTAGGGGGTTTGTACTCGCTTAATTTTGAACGTGGATTTTTTTTCCCCTTTGTAAGTAAGGGACACTCTCCTAGTGCTGATAAAAATAGACCCTTGACTTCTTTGCCTTATGGCAAAGCAAGCAGGATCTGAAATAAGCAATGTTATGGAGTAAGACTTCTGCCTACTGAATTATAACACATGACAGAGAGAAGTTTAGAGGTGGTTTAAAACCATTTCTCTTTTAAGGACCTGATGCTTAAATAGAACTTAATAATATAACTAAAAGTATGCTGAAAACAAAGTACTAGAAAATGCAGTGCAATTTGCACCCTCGTTTGGAAACATCTCCGCATATAATAAAAAAAAATCACATTTGTGGGGGAAATTTACACAACTGTATAAAATTGTCTTCTATACCAATAGGTAAGAAGTAGCTTAGGAGGCTTTATTATTGAAACAGATAAAAGCTAGTTATTAAGACCAAAATGCTGGGTACGTTCTGCCCTTGACACAGTTAAGAAATGAGTTGGGCTATTGGAGACCCGTTTCTATGAAGACCTGCAGATGACTGACTTGAGTATCACTGTGTTCCTGTCTGGAATTCTTGACTAGTAGGTTCCATTGACCAAGTATCTGGTGACGATTTGGAGCTTAGAGAGAAAATATTTGAAGTAGAGGTGGGGAGTTTTATAGGAAAAAATCATTTTATATAGAAAAGACCTGGGCGCTTTATTAAAAACTCCAAATATATACATATATATATATATATTGCATACACACACATATATATACATATATTATATGATATGTATAAAATCTAGCCAGGAAATGTATATAAAATCTATCTAGGAAAGAAACCAGAAGAAATTGTAATTGCTGCCAAAGATCATACACAAAAGTATATCAAAGTCACAATACCTAGAGGATTCTCTTGCAGCAGAGAAAAAGGATTTAGATATGTTGTATTGAAAGGAGAGAAGGCTAGCACTTCTCTTGACAAGAATGGAAGAGGCCCTTGGGCCTAACAACAGGCATACAGTTAAGGCATTGCCTTCGACTTTGTGGCATCTAACCACTGTTTTTATATTTTGATTGAGGGAACCATTATAGGGTTAGCGAGAAACTTGGCACTAGGGAAATTCCCAGGAATCCACAAAGATGATCCCGGCTAAGAATCCAAGCAACAGTGGAGAAGGTACCTTAACTGCAGTTCCCCTGTAATCAGATTGATGCCTATCTTGATTGTCATCATAGAACCTACAACCAGTAACTGATGGAAGCAGATGCAGAGATCCACAGCTAAGCACTGGGCTGAGCTCCTGGAGCCCAGCTGAAGAGAGGAGGAGCAATATTATGAGCAAAGGGGTCAATACCATGATGGGGAAACCGACAGAAGCAAGTGGGAGCTCACTGACTCTTGACTGACAGCTGGGGAACCTGCATATGATCAGACTATGCCCTCTGAATGGGGGTGATAGTTCTGTGACGTGGGCAGACTGTCGGGCCACTAGCAATGAAAACAGTATTTATCCCTAGTGCATGAACTGACTCTTTGGAGCCCATTCCCTATGCGGGGATACCTTGCTCAGCCTAGATACAGCAGGGAGAGCCTTGGTCGTGCCTCAGTGATGGCCAGACTTTGTTGACTCTCCATGGAAAGACTCACTCTCTCTGAGGAGTAGATGGGTGGATGGGGTGGGGAAGATGAGGGGAGTGAGAGGGAACTGGGATTGGTATGTAAAATAGGATTTTTTTAAAAGAAAAAATGCAGGAGACATAAAAAAATAGAAAAATAGAAAAGAAAGGGGGTTTTGATTAAACATAAAAACAGACGTTAAGGAATCTTAGAACTTTAGTATACTCCATAATGTCCTCCTGTGGTCCATTTTAAAAGGCAGTGTGCTAAGTTGATATTGGGAACAAACCACATGCCATTTTAATATCTAATTAAGCCGAATTTGCATCAAATAGTGTCAAATGATGGCTCAGAGCCTCAAAACTCTGTCACTTGATAACTGTGTGATCTTTGGTAATTGGTGAAGCCATGTTCACCATGGTCATGCTCCAAGAAGAGCTGTTCAAACGTCACAAAACCTTTAGTTTTGTTGGGCCAAGCTAAAGTGCCACAAATTATTACCTTACACCACCTTCTGAAATGTAGCCATTGCCAGGTTGATTTAGGACCAGAATACAGCGTGCAGGCAAGTTGAGTGTGTAGCCATGGGGACCATGTGCTTATCAGGAGTCTAGCCTAATAGACACGCTGCTTTCTTGTTGGAAGGTTATGAGTTAGTTTTCTGGAGGCGGGCTTGTATGGAGTGTATTCTATTAGCCTCTCTAAAGTTGTTTGCATGCAGTGACTTTAGTCTCTGGGCCAGCGTCCAATTCACTGCTGGGGTCACTAGATTTTTCTTTTGTAGTTTTCAGTGTTACGGTTACTTGAAACTCTCTCGTTAAACTTGGCAGACCTTTGCTTTGTAATAAGGAAAGTCATTTGTACTTTCATTTATTGACTCAACTAAATGTCTGGAGAATTAAGGAAAACCAAGGAAATCAAAGCCTTCTTTTTCGGTTTACATTAAAACATTGTCAAAAATGGTTTTGGCTATGTGCAGTGAATTTTAAAGAAGCACTCGTGAGAACATGAATTGTTCTTTTGGCTGGTGTGGGGGCACAGGCTCTTAAATTCAGTCTGATTCTGTGTTGTGTTTTTACTTCAGAAACTGTATTTGTGATTTCCCTAGTGTGACAGATGTCTGAATTCCCATGTCACCTTCATGTGAATTTTGTTGTGAATTTCTTTGCAAACACCAAAATGTTCAACTACACTTACTTGAAAATCCTGGTCCCACCATGGAAACAGAGTTAGAGTCAAACCGTATTTAGATCCGCCTGCATCATTCAGCATATGTAGTTCAGTGTGAAGGGAAACCCTCATTAGTTTTCTAAAGTCCTCATCGTAGTATACGGGAAGTTCTTTTTGCAACCACACAGAAAGTTTTTCTGGTTCCTTTTGTGAATGTAGTATATTAACTTACCAACAGTAAGGACCGGGAAGGCATAGTGTAAGTATTTCTGCACACGAGCCACAGGCCTATGTGGAATGCGCTGTGACCATAAGTTTACAACGATGCATACAAAATGGTGACAGTTTAAGTATCATTTCATGTCACATTTGTTTTGATATAAAACAAAAAGAGTCAGACTTGAGAAAAATCACATAACAAAATTACGTTGAGTTCTTTTTTTTTCCCAATCAGAAAAAAATACCCAATTTTAAACATTTATTTTAGGTTTTATTTTTTTTCTTTTACTTCTATCTCAAGCATACACCTTGTATGACTCAAACAATCATTTGTAATTATTCTAGATGACAGACTCATGCCCCATTTTTTGTCATATTGACATGGTTTTAAATAACACCATATTTTTTTTCTTGGCAAATTGACTTTGTCTTTAAAGAGATTTTAGGGTCCCACTATGTGTATATATCTTGTTATACTTATTAGCAGGAGAAGTCGTGAGTTTTTAAAAAGACAATATGACATGGATAACAGAATATAAACAGAATGAACAGAAATAATGACAGGTAAAGGAAAATATGGGAAGAAAAAAAAAGAAATAAAAGAGCAGGTCTCAAATTATTCAAGGATATAATAAGTGATGTGGTCCTGTGAGCAAGGAAGGCAGAGATGAAAGCCATGGGGGTAAAGGGGGAGAAAAACAGAAAGAAGGCGTATTTTAGGAAAGGCAGGAATTAATAAAAAAATCCAAGGCAGGGAGAAAACGAGATTTATTTTAAAATTCAAGCAGAAATTTGAAATTTTGCAGCACCTTGAGGATGACCGAACTGCAAAGTAGGTAGTGAATGAGTCACAGCCGCAAAAACGTTGGGAATGGCTGCGCGGTTTATTACCGCTCCGCTCAGATGATTCCTACGTTTTGGGGAACAGAGGCCTAATTACAACAGAGAGATGTTCCTAGGGTGTCCTTTAGAGTTTGTGTGTTAAGGCAAATGCATCCGAAAGGGAAAGGAAAATGATGAAAGACAGACGTGAGCGGCGAAGGCCCAAACCTGAGCTGTGAGCAGGGAAACGGGCCTGTTGTAACGCCGGCTGTCCTGAAGGCTTCGGAGAGCGTCACTGTGATTAAGCAGCCCTCCTGCCGGCACTGTAGGAGTTATAGCCAATAATAATGTATTGACATTTATGTGGTTATGATGCTCTGACCTGAACTCATTTAACTAGTGCCCTGGTAATCGCCGACGGGTTCACATGCGCTGTAATGCCAAGATAAAAATAGCAAAGTTGATTAAATACAGTTAGATGTTAATATAAAATAATAAAGTTAGGTATTTCATATAATGTTGTTCCTGACAATTTGTTTTCCTCATTGAATAAGTGAATGCAATTTATGAAAAAATAGCCCTTCATATTAGTTCCCTAAAGTTAGGCACCATGAATAATTAGTCTTTACTAAGCAGTTATTAAAGCTTCGCTCGAATTGTAAATCAGCTGAAAATGAGGAGCACAGGAGAAAGGAAGATTAGCTTCTGGAATGCTATTTTCATGCATTTCCAAACTACAAGGTTTCTCGGGTTTTGTATTATTGTTAATGTATTAGATGATGGAGTTTGATTTATTCAAACCATCTCTAACGTTTTCACCCGTCTCCATGCTTGAGATCCCGTAAAGTGTTGATTTACTTAGGGTCTATTAAGTTGTCCTGCAAATGAGCCGGGCCTCCCGCGCTCTTATTTTGCGATAATAAAGGTACTAATGGATGTTTTCATGGATGGCCCCCTACTTAAGGAAAATGAAAACTAAAAATGATGCTGGTTCTTTAAAAGTTTATCCCTATGGCACCATCGTGTAAGCATACGTATGGGACAGTAAAAATGGAAGACGACACATTAAATGACATTATTATAAAATGCAATACTCTTGGAATGATCCCTTATTAAATTAGGCTCTATGATCTGAGATGAATTTCCCCGATCCCTAATCCATCACTGGAGAAATATTAAAAGATAGGTCTCAACTGGTATTAGAATCGCACTCAGTCTCTACTTTCATTATTTTGAATTAGGGTGCTACTGGGGGAAAGCCTCTTAATGAGAATTAGAGTGATTCACTGGCCTTCTTTTGGATTTTGACAAGTAAAATATTAACTCTTCAGTCACAGCTGTCTGAATTAAAATACTTGGCAGCCGCAGATGCCCAAATTAAATTGGCCTTTATGTTTCCATATTGCTGACCTCCTTAGAGGCGACAACATCAAACCCAACAATAACAAAAAAGTCACCATGTGTCATTTCTTGGAAGAAAATATATTTATTGAAGTTTTTATATTTGTTTCAGTTTTAACATATAATTGAACAACTCCAGGACATTTCGAAGGGGAGTTGTTTTAATTATATATTAAATAAACCTCAGTTACATACCAGGTATTTTAAACCATTAATTATATGTTAAAATAATCAGTAGGGTTTTGGGACATATTTTACTTGTTTAAGTACCATCAGCCAGAGTTTTGGATCAAATTTAAGGGTAAATGAACCGGATCTGGTATAAGTTCATTTAGAGTAAATTTTTCCTTGAGAATACATACAAAACTCATTTCTCCAATCTAGACATAAACTTGGTTAAAGATGCAGAATCAACATTAGTAGAATATACACAGAAAGACTCATTAGATTTTCCTAAATTTAAAATTCTTCTTATAGTCAAGCAACAACAACGAACACAACCAAAGTGTTTTTTAAAAAGTAATGATATGGGTCTCTATGTCTCACTTGATGATGTAGGTGCTTTGAACGTTCAATGGAGTTACAGGTTTACAGAGTCATTCAAATAATGGCGAACAAAAATCTCATTGGTCAATGTGTGCTGATTTCTGATTCCTTTGCTCTTCTGTAGTCTCTGTAGCCCACCCCCCTGCCTAGTTGCTCATCATGGATCTGAACTTGGGATTGGATGGACAATGACTCGAGAGAGACGCTGGTAAATGGATCTCACTGGTCTTACCTTATTTATCCAGCATCAAGATGAACTCAGGGACACGGGTCAGGAATCTAGGTTCTCT